AGCCATTTGCTGCGGACCTTCATTTTTGATATTTTTGTTACCTTTTTCTTGTCTTTTGAGTATTGATTTTGATTACAATTTGTTTTCTTGAGATTGAAAAGAAAAAAATGCCAGCTACAAACGTAGTCAAGCCTACTAGGAGAAACCAGGTGAGTACTTGAGGTTTTTTATGGTAACATTGTAAACTAATTCTTATAATTTTCTCGATTACAGGATTTCGTCGAGATGGAGAGGAAAATCAATCTTCTCCAAGAAAGCTTGATGAGGCCGACAGGAGGGCGAGTGAGGCCGAAAGGCAAAGGAATGAAGACAAAAAGGTAAGACATTTTTGTTCCATATTATTTTGGACAATCTCATAAGTGTTTTCATTTTAGAGGATCGAGGAGTTGACTGAGCAATTATCAAACGCGCGATGGACGTTAAAAAAGAAGCAAACATGGTTGCAGCGGGCGATGGAGGACATGGCCTTGTTGGACGCGAACAATAAGGCCATGAATACGGCAATGTCCACACTACGCCGAAACATCGGTGGGAATCAACTCGTGATAGTTGTTTGTTATCGTTGTATGTTTGTTTATATTGTTATTGTTTTAAGTTTGCAGTAAACCTTGATAAACAAAACCTGTAAGATCTGTGAAAATACTCACCAGAGTTTGGATCAAGTGGTGAGCGTGGTCGGGGTTGAGGGGTTGGATTAGTTCTACAACCACACGATTTGAATTTGGTGATAATCGTTAATTAGGTTGTGAAGTGTGAATTCACCTTCCGACGTTCAAATGGGCCGTTTTGTCCTCTGCTAGGGCACAACAGAACATTGTGTAGTCTCCCACAAATTGGGCATGTCACGCCACAGTGTGGTGCCGCGGTTGAAGGCACGTTTCGCAGAGCCCAAGGGCTGCCGCTTGCACTGTTTTTCTACGCCGAAATTTGTTTGATTGGCTAGATTGGTTCGCGAAGTTCTTTTGTCTCTTGTACGTAGATTATACGGGGAGTTGTTTTTCCGATTCACCTGTGGGCGCTCATTTGCC